TTAACAAGTTTCTGTTACCTAACAAGATGAAAGAACTTTACTATAAAATTCTTCATATGTACTATCCTTGTAATGCTTTACTCTCAAAATGTAAGTTGGACATCTCTTCACAATGCACATTCTGTCATTCTAATTTGGAAACAATATCACACTTATTTTTTGAATGTGAGTATGCAAAGGATTTTTGGAAAGAAATGTCTTGGCTTGTTTTCTCAGCTTACAACAAACTTTTTAGTTTTGAGGTAATTAATGCACTATTTTTAATTTGGGAATCAGGATCAAAGGAGCTGGATGATATCTTAAAACTGTTAACTCTTTGTGGCCTATTTCATCTCCACAAATGTAAAGTTACTGATTGTATGCCCAATTTTAGGATTTTTTGTATTGATTTGAAATTATTTTCTGAATCTCTCTGCTCATCACTTAATAAGAAAGCTGCTAAAACTACTGTATTGATGGTTCTTCTTTCTTCTTCTTTTTTTTTTTAAGTGGACCTTTTTCATTTTTACACCCATCTTGTATTTAATTATAAGGTTTAAATACTTCATTCTGGTGAGTTTTTACTGATTGTATGCCCGATTTTAGGATTTTTTTTGTACTGATTTGAAATGATTTTATGAATCTCTCTGCTCATCACTTAATAAGAAAGCTGCTAAAACTACTGTATTGATGGTTCTTCTTTCTTCTTCTTTTTTTTTTTTAAGTGGACCTTTTTCATTTTTACACCCATCTTGTATTTAATTATAAGGTTTAAATACTTCATTCTGGTGACTTTTCATGCACTAATTTGTGCTGGATTAGCATGTCTGCTGGAATCCTAATGAGCACGATTTTTGATGCACCAAAAATATTTCCTATAATGTTGTCAAATTGCTTAGCAAGATCACTCACCACCTTCTTCATTACATATACACAAATACATAGTAAAGCAATAGAGTGGGGGAACTATGACGTCACTTTGTATGCGGATCATCTGTTAGCATCGCACTGGTTCTGTCTAGTAAAGAAAATTTTACTTCCCAAGAATTATTCAATCTGTCATCATTACAAATAGAATTGGACACTATTTACGAAGAGAAAGCAAGAGGTGCTTTTACAAGATCAAAGCAAATTTGGTTGGAACAGGGGGGAAAGAATACTTTTTTTAACCTGGAAAAGAGAAATGGAGAAATGTCTTCAATAAATAAATGATTAATTAATAATATAGTGTCGGAGGATCAGAAGGAGATATCCCAATATGTCACTCAATTTTATAAATATCTCTACAACTCTAATTCAGTTAATTCTGATCTGGATACATTTCTGAATGGTTTGGGGAAAGTAAAAACTATTAGTAAGGATCTCAAATTATTTTTTTGTGATGAAGAGATAATTCCCTCATATAGATAGAGATAATTCCCTCATATAGATAGAGATAATTAATAATGTGCCCTCTAGAAGCTTGCGTTCTGCAAGTGAACGGTGTATTATTGTGCCACCTAAAAGAGGCACAAAATCACTTTCACAGACTTTTACATTAACTGTTCCCTCCTGGTGGAATGACCTGCCCAAATCATTGTTGCTCTTTTGTTAGTTTTGACTGCTTTTATTGTCCTAATTTGTAAGTCGCTTTGGATAAAAGCGTCTGCTAAATGACTAAATGTAAATGTAAATGTAATAAAACTGGAGGAAATTAAAGAATGTTTTGGGTATTTAAAAGATAATCGATCTCCAGGTAACGATGGACTTCTCAATTAATTTTATAAAGTCTTCAGGGATAAATTTAGCAGTATATAAAGAATCTATCGATAAAGGAGAGTTGCCAGACTCATTAAAACAAGGGGTTATTACTCTAATTCCAAAACCACAAAAATATACTCTTCACTTAGACAACTGGAGGCCTATTAGTCTTTTAAATAATGATGCCAAGATTTTTGCACATATATTTGCTAAAAGACTGAAACATGGTTTAGATGACATTATTGATGAAGAACAGACTGGATTTATTCAAGGATGACATATTATAATCCACCATGTCTAAAATCAATCTAATATTGTTACTAATGAGTACATATTAGATAATAGTCTTATATTATTTGTTGATTTCCCTAAGGCTTTCGACACTATAGAACATGATTTTTTTGTTTAAAATTATTGCATTTTTCGGATTTGGCAAGTATTTTTTAAAAGCTGTTAAAACATTATACAAAGGATGCACTAGTTTTGTAAAATTGGCCCAAGGTGTCAGGGTTCTGTCACTTCGGTCTGGTTTATTCATGGTTTTGTGACAGAGCCCTGACACTCCCATCATTTCGTGCTTTTATGTGAGCGCGTGGCTTCGAGTGTGCTCGAGTGTGCTCTCTTGTCTGTGTGCCTTGTTTCATGTTGTTTCATGTTGGAGCGTGGTGTTCGGATCCCGGCACTCATGTCTTGTTCAGATTCAGTTTCGGTTTGGTGTCGGGGTTCGGACACTCACGCTACATGTACTGTTTTGTTGTGGGAGAGTGCGGTCTCAAGTTCGCTCGGGCCGTACGCTCTTCTGTCCTCATGTCTTGTGTTGTTGCACGCAGCTCGTGTTTTTGGCTGCGTGCTTTCATGTTACGTCTTGTGCTGTGTAGCACACAGCTTGTGTTGTTCATTGGCTGCATGCTTTGTCATGTCATGTCTTGTGTGAACATGCGGCTTCTCATTAGCTGCGTGTTCGTGTCTTGTTTTGTTCAAGCACATGGCTTGTGATTGTTTTGCTGGCCATGTGCTTGTGTTTTTGTTTTGCGTGAGCACATGGCTTTTGTCTTAGTTTCCTGTGTGCCATGGGCTCTCATGTCAATTGTCTAATCCCACCCATCTTGTTACCTGATTATTGGTTAATTTGCCCCACCTGTGTTTCCCTTATTACCCTCCTCATTTGCTCCCTATTTATTCTCCTTATGTTTTAGTTCGTCGTCGTATTTACCCTTGTGGTTTCCTGCCTTGTCCTGTCTTGCCTTGCCAAGCTTGTTGCCTGCCTGTTTTCCCACCTCGGGGTAGTTTTGGTTTGCTTGTTTGGTTTGGTTTATTTTATCATTAATTAAAGCCCATTCTCCTGCACCATTGAGTCCTCGCTCCATCCTTCACATCATCCCTGACAGAACGAACTGGCCATGATGAGGACTCAGCGGAGAAAGGGCTTGCGCCATCCGCCTGTCTCCACTCTCTCCAGCCCCCTCTACTAACGCATTCTCCGTTTCAAGGTCTTGAGCTCCCTCCTGCAACAGGGGACTGACCTGAGGAAGTTTGCCCTTGAGTTCAGCAGTGCAGCAGAGGGCTTGGGGTTCAATGATGTGGCTCTCAAGGACTTGTTTAATTATGCCCTCGATGAGCCCCTCAATTGGGGAAGAATGAGGGGGCTGGACCACCTGACGTTCGGGGGATTTGTGGAGTTCCTGGCACATCCCCCAGCTAAGGAGGCTGCAGCGCCCCCCTGTGACAGCTGATGATGCTGCAACGCCTCCAGAAGTGCCGGCCAAAGAGGCTGCAGCACCCCCGGTGGTGACTGAAGAGGCTGCAGCGCCCACAGTGGCGGCCGAAGAGGCTGCAGCGCCCCAGTGGTGGCCGAAGAGGTTGCAGTGCCCCCGGAGGTGGCCGACAAAGCTACAGTGCCACACTCTCAGAAACGGAGGAGGAGGAAGAAGGCTTCTTCCATCCTTCAAGGCCTGGAGGCCGTCCCAGAGCCGCCCAAGCTTCTTGCCCTGCCGGCTCTACCCTTGATGCCGGCTCC